CCTCAACCAAAAACAGCATAACCAGCAGCCAGCTGGGCCTTTATGTAGCATTTGCTATGTGTCAGGCTCTCTGAGATCTTTATATTAACTCACTTATCCTCATCATAACCCTATAAAGTCGGACCGAGGACTATCCCTGTTTTACAGGTAAGAAAATGAAGGCAGACCAGGCGTGGTGGCTCACGCCTGTAATCCTAGCACTCTGGGAGGCCAAGGCAGGCGGATTGTTGAGTTCAGGAGTTCGAAACCGGCCTGAGCAAGACCCTGTCTCTACTAAAAATAGAAAGAAATTAATTGACCAGCCTAAAATACTTATATTTAAGAAAAAAAATTAGCGGGCATGGTGGCACATGCCTGTAGCCCCAGCTACTTGGGAGGCTGAGGCAGGGGAGGAGGCTTGAGCCCAGGAGTTTGATGGGTTGCTGTGAGGCTAGGCTGACGCCAGGCACTCACTCAGCCTGGGGCAACAAGTGAGATTCTGTCTCAAAAAAAAAAAGAAAGAAAAAGAAAAAGAAAAAAGAAAATGAAGGCAGAGCCATGCTGTAAACCATTAATGCTCTGTTGGGTGGATGAACTAAGACGGAATGACGCAGCTAAGGCTGGGAGAAAGGACGCCTCTCTGCCCTCTGGACGCGCTGAGGACATGGGTGGAGATGCTTCAGTTCACAGACAGGGCAGGCCACACGGCACGTCAGCAGCCCTCTCTGGTGTCCCGTGGCGTTGGCAGGGCTGCCTGGGTTTAATGAGGGAGGTGTAGCTGCCTAAGCACAGGTGGCCATCAAAGGAGGGTGACAGCTGGAAAGAGGGATCATCAGAGACCAAAGAAACCAAGAGTGTGGGAGATGGCAGGGAACTAGGGACCATGGACATGCGACTCCTTGTTCTACACAGATGAGCAGTGACTTGTCTTAAGAGCACACAGGACCCAGGACTTCTTTTTTTTTTTTTTTTTTTTTGAGACAGAGTCTTGCTTTGTTGCCCAGGCTAGAGTGAGTGCCGTGGCGTCAGCCTAGCTCACAGCAACCTCAAACTCCTGGGCTCAAGCGATCCTCCTGCCTCAGCCTCTCATGTAGCTGGGACTGCAGGCATGCGCCACAATGCCTGGGTAATTTTTTTTTCTATATATATATTAGTTGGCCAATTAATTTCTTTCTATTTATAGTAGAGACAGGGTCTCACTCTTGCTCAGGCTGGTTTTGAACTCCTGACCTCGAGCAATCTGCCCTCCTCGGCCTCCCGGAGTGATAGGATTACAGGCGGACCCAGGGCTTCTGATTCCCAGTCTGTGCAGGGCCTCCTTCAAGACATCTGAGAAAGGCTCTTCATCCCCCGGGACCTTAAACTCCCAGGAAAGAGGGAAATCTGTGGCCAAGAAGGCAACTATGGCTACAGGAAGGAAGTAAAAAGAGAGGCTGTATGGCTCTTGAGTGAGACCCGAACGGTGGCAGATGTCTCTGAACTTGGTCTCTTCATTTGGAATAAAAGTATTAACAACTCGAGTCTTGGGTTTCCTTCGAGTCTCTACTCGGTTATTACCCTCTGAGTGGCCTCCTCCAACCACCCTGTTTAACAACGCAAACTTAATAAATTAGAGCTAGTATCAAGTATTTCCGCAGGGACCAAATACCCACCTCTGTGCTCAGAAAGACAAGGGAAGGTAACATCTACACACCTCCAAGTCCAAAACTCACACCTCAGGCCCATTTTCCGGTGGGAAGAAGGACAAGAGTGTAGGGCTGGGGTTCAGGAGATCAGCCCCCCACCAAGGCGGTCTGAGAATCCGCTCAACCCTGTGCAAGTCTTAGAAGCAGACAGGAGGAATGAATAAGTGATGGAAGAAGAGAAGACCTGGATTTTGGAAACCCCTTCCCCTCCTAGAGACCTCTCTAAATCAAGAGTCCCTCCCTAAAAGTCTCCGGTAACTAGACCCCTCCCAGGAACGGGATCGCCCTGACAACGGATCCCTCAAGGGGTGCTCTCAGGATCCTCCGGCGACCACCGGTTCCCCAAGGTCCCTTGAGAGAGACCCCCAGGAACTGTGTCTCAAGATCCTCCTACGCGGATCCCCAGCACTGAATCTGTCACAGGTTGGCTCTCAAAGCTCCCAAAACTCCAAGAAAGGGGTCGCTCGCATGGGAACCCTCACATGTTGGCTCCCCGGGTCCCCCAGCGAGGGGATCCCCGGAGACAGGCCTCCAGATCCCGGAGCGATGAGGTCGCCAGGACTCGGGACCCCTCAACCTCGACCCCAGCTCCAGCCAACGAATCCCCAAGACCGGATGCTCCGACGAGGCAGTCTCCCCGCACCCGTCCGCCAAGCCCGGGCCCCGCACCGTGCTGCCGGCCGCCGGGACGCCCCACCGAGCTCCCGGGACTCAGGACTTCTCAGGCCGGCCAGTCCCAGCAGGCGCCGCTACCGCCGCCAGGGCCGCTTCACCAGGAGCGACGCTCGCAGTGCGCACTGGGAGCCGCCATCTTCCCGCCCACGTGACCGGCGGACGGCACCAACGCAGCTCTGGGGGGGGATCCAGCTAAAGGCTCCCAGGGAGGAGAGAGGCCCGGAAGCCTGAGTCGGCACCAGTGCCATGGCTCACACTGCCACATCAGCAGCTGTCCAGGAACATTCCTCAGGGAACGGAATTGGCAACGCCTGCCCCATTTCCGGAAAAGATTCTCTCCGACCTCCCCCTAACCGGCACGATAAGTGGAAATGGTTTGTGCCGATTCATCGGCCGGCTCGCCACAGAGCATGCGCAGCGTCGCGGGCTGGGCGGGGTCAGGCTCTGGGGGCGTGGCCACCCGAGACCTGGAAGGGAGAAACAGGAAGTGTTGCAGTTGTTCATTCATTTAATAAAACAGCAATCTTTTTTTCCTTTTTTTTTTTTCCCGCCCTCTCAACTCAGTTTTTCCCGACTCCGGGAAGAAGCAGGAAGAGAAGGCCAAAGCAGCAAACTTAATTGGAGAAAGTAGGTGGTGGACATATGACAGTTCACTGTAAAATTCTTTCAACTTTTGTATATATTTGAAAGCTTTCATAATGAGATGTTGGAAAAACAGGTGGATGGAAAAAGGAGGGTGACTATTATCCTGAGTGTTTCAACGTTTCAAAGTTAAATATTTGAAAAGTGTTTTAACTTTTTTTTTTTTTTTTTTGAGAAAGAGTCTCACTTTGTTGCCCAGGCTAGAGTGAGTGCCGTGGCGTCAGCCTAGCTCACAGCAACCTCAAACTCCTGGGCCAAGCGATCCCTCCTGCTCAGCCTCCTGAGTAGCTGGGACTACAGACATGCGCCACCATGCCCGCTAATTTTTTCTATATATATTAGTTGGCCAATTAATTTACTTTTAAATGAAGAGCCTAGAGCCCGGGCACTGTGGCTCACGCCTGTAATCCTAGCACACGGGGAGGCGGAGGCATAAGGATCGCTCACGGTCCAGGAGTTCGAAACCAGCCTGAGCAGGAGCAAGACCCCCGTCTGTACTATAAATAGAAAGAAATTAATTGGACAAACTAAATATATAGAAAAAACTTAGTCGGGCATGGTGGCGCATGCCTGTAGTCCAGCTACTCGGAGGCTGAGGCAGGAGGATTGCTTGAGCCCAGGAGTGAGGTTGCGTGTGAGCGAGGCTGACGCCACGGCACCTCACTCTAGCCTGGCCAACAAAGCAGACTCTGTCTCAAAAAAAAAAAGAAAAAGCCCATCTGACCGTAGTGTGAAAAGAAAAGGAAGCACTCGTTGCAACATGTTTAGAAATGGCAAAAGAAAAATATCCACTCCACAGTTGTCACCAGGTCATTTCTGTCATGGCACCCCTGGCCCAGCCTTGTCCCCTCTGCCCTGTGCCCAGCGCCCACCCTGTTCCCCTCCACCGTCTGTCCTCCCCAAACTGGCCACCAGAGGGCGCCCGGGAGCACCTAGGTCTGGGCCTGGCCCTCTGCCTACAGTCCTCCATGGCTCCTACCTCCCTCAGGATCAAAGCCCAATTTCTCCCTGTACCCAACAAGGCCCTGCACGACCTGCCAGATCCCCTCCCCAGCCTCGCCTCCTTCCTCTCTTCCCAACCTCTCTCTGCTCCAGCCACACAGGCCTCCCCGCTGTGCCTCCAACATGCACGCCAGGTGTGGTTCTGCCCAGGTGTGGTTCTGCCCCAGAGAGACTTTGTCTCTCTTTTTTCAAATAAATAAATAAATTCATTAATTTTTTTGAGACCGGGCATCTCTCTCTCACCCAGGCTAGAGTGCTGTGGCGTCATCATAGCTCACTGTAGCCTCAGACTCCTGAGCTCCAAGAGATCCTCCCGCCTCAGCCTCCCAAATAGCTGGGACTACAGGCACCACCACCATGCCCAGCTAATTTTTTTCTATTTTTAGTAGAGACATGGTCTCACTGTTGCTCAGGCTGGTCTCGAACTCTTGATCTCAAGTGATCCTCCCACCTCGGCTTCCCAGTGTGCTAGGATTACAGGTGTGACCTTCTAGTTTAAGACAACATTCCATCATTCGCTGCACAGTTATTTATGGAGAACCTACTGTGTGCACCAGCCCCGTCCTAGGCACAGAAGACAGAGAACAAAAGACATGGTTTCTGGCCTCATGGAGCCCACATTCTGATTATTTTTATTTCATGGCCTTCCTGTGTGTTTGAAAGCTCACTCCAGATAACCACCTTTGCGGCAGCCCTTGCCACTCTGCCAAGACACCAGCTTGGGCACGGTGGAGGCTGAGGCCAATGTTTATGGAGGACTTCCCCAGAGCCTCGGGCTGTGCTGACTCTGGAAGGCTGCATGGCGGGGTGCCAGGTGTGATGGGCCCCTAAGATGTTCTGGGGCACAAGATAGGCCCAGGGTGCAGGAAGCAGATACCAGAAGCCACACCCCACAGCAAGGCCGTGGAAGTCAGAGAACTTGGCGTGTGGCCTCTGCCAGAGGGAGGAACCCGACTAGCAGAAGGGAACTGCCTCAGCGCCCCGACGTCCGGGGTTCTGTCTGTGGCTCCTCTGTGCTCGAGCAAGGCCCTGGAGGCCAGAAATCTGAAGCCGGGTGTCTGCAGAGCTGTGCCCTCGCTAGGACCCGGAGGGCCTTCCTGCTCTCCAGACTCGTGGTGCAGGCTGCAATCCCTGGAGGTCCTGGGCTTGTGGCTGCATCACTCCAATCTCTGCCCCTGTCTTCACGTGGTCTGCGTGTTTCTGTGTCCGAATCGCACTCTCTTTTTTTTTTTTGTATGACAGAGTCTCGCTTTGTTGCACAGGCTAGAGTGAGTGCCGGTGCGCGTCAGCTAGCTCACAGCAACCTCACAACTCCTGGCTCAAGCAATCCTGCTGCCTCAGCCTCCCGAGTAGCTGGGGACTACAGGCATGCGCCACACGCCCGGCTAATTTTATATATATAATATAGTTGGCCAATTAATTCTTTCTATTTATAGTAGAGACGGGGTCTCGCTCTTGCTCAGGCTGGTTTCGAACTCCTGACCTCGAGCAATCCGCCCGCCTCGGCCTCCCAGAGAGCTAGGATTACAGGCTTGAGCCACCGCGCCCGGCCTAAATCGCACTCTCTTATAAGGACACCTGTCGTGGGATCAGGGCCCACCCCGATACAGTATGATCTCACCCTAACTGCATCTGCCAAGACCCTCTTTTCCAAACAAGGTCACCTTCACGGGTACCAGGGTTAGACCTTGAGCACGTCTTTTTGTAGGGGCGTGGGGGGCAGAATTTAGCTCACGACACTGAGTTATTGGTCCAGTCTCAGTTTGAGCATCCAGGAACCCTTGCCTGGTCCCCAGCTTGAGCCTGGCAGGACAAGAGATCCCCCACCTGGACACCTCAGGCTCCTCTCTCTCTCTCTCTCTCTCTCTCTCTCTCTCTCTCTCTCTCTCTCTCTCTCTCTCTCTCTCTCTCTTTTGAGACAGAGTCTTGCTTTGTTGCCCAGGCTAGAGTGAGTTCCGTGGTGTCAGCCTAGCTCACAGCAACCTCAAACTCCTGGGCTCAAGCGATCCTCCTGCCTCAGCCTCCCGAGTAGCTGGGACTACAGGCATGCACCACCATGCCCAGCTAATTTTATATATATATATTAGTTGGCCAATTAATTTCTTTCTATTTATAGTAGAGACAGGGTCTCGATCTTGCTCAGGCTGGCTTCAAACTCCTGACCTTGAGTGATCCTCCCTCCTCGGCCTCCCAGAGTGCTGGGATTATAGGCGTGAGCCACCTTGCCTGGCCTCCATTCTCTCTTAATACACTTCGGGCTGCAAGATCGATCTATTGAAGGTTTACTGGGCTCTGTTGCCCCTTTGGACTTCTGTTCCACCAAAATGTGAATCGAATCTGTGCTAAAATAGGAGGAATTAAAGAGGAATAAAAGATGCTGTCTGTTGGTGGAACCAGAGAGAGGGAACAATTTGCCCAGCAGTTCTGGGATGAAGTGAAGGCAATTGTGGCACTTGTCATCTCAGGCAGAAAATTTAGGGGAGGGCTGAAAGACTCCATAAATAAGATAAACCACAGTCTAAGGCAATTATTTTTGATTTTCAAAATGAAATTTATATTGAGAGCATTATGGAGTCTATGCAGTCGTAAGAAATAATGCAGAGGCCTGGCACAGAGGCTCACGCCTGTAATCCTAGCACTGTGGGAGGCCGAGGCAGGAGGATCGCTTGAGGTCAGGAGTTCGAGGCCAGTCTGAGCCACAGTGAGACCCTGTCTCTACTAAAAATAGAAAAAGTAGCTTGGTGTGGTGGTGCACATCTGTAGGCCTAGCTACTCAGGAGGCTGTGGCAGGAGGATCCCTTGAGCCTAGGAGTTGGAGGCTGCAGTGAGCAGTGATAACACCACTACACCCTACCCAGGGTGACAGAGCAAGACTCTGTCTCGAAAACAAAACAAAACAAAACAACAAAAAACACATTAATTGCGCTACTCTGTCCCCAGCACTGTTCTGGACTTTCTCCAATAGAACTTTCCATGAAGACAGACATATTCTGTATCGTCACCAACCGATACAACAGCTACTGGCCAGGTGTGTCGATAGAGTAATTGAAATGTGGACAGTCCCACTCTGCAGCTGAATTTTTAATTTTATTAAAAGTTAAGTAATTTAAATGTAAATGGAAAGAAACTGATGCTCAATTCAATTCTTGGAAATTTTGTAGGCATGTTCGGAACACCTGGAACAGGTGAATCTACGCTTTCCACTCTAAAATTTTATAAAATATAGAGATTGAATATCTCCAATGAAAATTAGTACTGAAGTTGAGATGTGCTGTGTGTGGCCAATACACGTGGGATTTTAAGACAGAGTATGAGAAAAATAACATAAAATACCTCATTAATAATTGATTTTGATTACTGATTACATATTGAAATAAAAATATGTTTTAACATATCAAATTAATAAAATGTTATTAAAATTAATTTGACCAGTTTCTTTTTACTTTTTGATTGATGGATACACAATATTTGTTCATATTTATGGGGTACATGTGGTATTTTGTTACACAAATATTTTGTACAATTGTGATATATGTACAAAGTATTTTGTACATTGTGACATATGTATAGAATTTGTAATGATCAAGTCAGGGTGTTTAGGGTATCCATGATGTACAGTTTTTATGATTTCTATTATACTTTTCCTTTTTTTAAAATTGGATTTCTCTGCTCTAGATCCTATGGTGGTTGCAAAGCTCATTGAAAGCAGAGAAACATACAATACAATTCATTCACGTAAATTGTATAATTCAATGGATTTTAGTATAGTCAGAGTTATGCAACCATCACCATGTTAATTTTAGAAAATTTTCATCGCCCCAAAATAGAAAGCCCCTATCCCTCCCTCACTCCCCTCCCTCTCCCCCAGCCCCTGGCAACCACTAATCTTTCTTCTCTATGGATTTGCCTATTCTTGGACATTGCATATAAATGGAATCACACAATCTGTGGTCTTTCGTGTCTGGCTTCTTTCACCCAGCGCGATGTTTTCAAGGTTCATCCACAGTGTAATATGTGTCCGTGCCTCATGCTTTTTCCTTGTGAAATAACATCCCATTGTATATAATATCCCATTGTATGAATGCACCACTATCGATTTGGGTGGTTGGCACTTTTTGGCTAGGAAGCACAATGCTGCTATGAGCTTGGATGTACGAGCTTTCATGTGGATGTACGCGTTTATTTCTCTTGGGTAGGTACCTAGGAGTGCAGTTGCTGTGTCATACGGCAATGCTATGTTTAACTTTTGGAGGAACTGCCAGACTGGTTTTCGCAGCAGCCACCAGCAGTGTACGAGGATTTTCGATATCTCCGCGTCCTTGCCAACACTTTTCTTTCTCTTTTTCCTTTTTTGTCTGTCCCAATGTGTTTTGTTTTGAATTATAGCCACCCCAAGTAGGAGTGAAACGGTATCTCACTGTGGTTCTGATTTGCATTTCCTGAATGACTAATGAGGCTGAGCATCTCTGCAAGAGGGTAGCGGCTATTTGCGTATCTTTTTTAGAGAAACGTGTGTGTACGCAGAGGCTCTGCCCATCTAGTCTGTTTTGTCCCCTGGGGTATCCTTGGGGCCAGCAGGCGCACAATACGTGTTTGTTGAATGAATGCATGAATGAATGTCTCCGCGGTTAGGTTTGTATGTCAGGGACACGCCCCCGGTGTTGGGTCTCATTTGTGCCCATCACGCGCGTGTGTTCCTAGCGAAGGTCTCCCGTGTCGTGGGCCCGCCCTAGGATGCCCGACTTCGCAACCGTGCACAGTTCAGAACCACGCCCTCCCTTGAGCAGAGCCACTTCCGGCTTTTCCGTGCAACCTCAGTCCTCTTCCGGCCGCGGTTGCCCTTGGCAACGCGTGGCGCCGCGCTTCCTGTATTGATTCGAATCGCGGGAGACGTCACGTCCTCCCGAGGTGCCCAACGTGCGCAGGCGCAGTCGCTCAGAGTGGGCGTGTCGTGTCGTGGGGGAGTCCGGGGACCGGGGGCGTGGCCGGGCGTGGCCGTGGCACGCAGCGCGCCGACGTGGGGGCGTGGCCCGGCGGGCGGGCGCGGGGGCGCGCGCGCGGGGGGGGCGGCGCGGGGGGGGGGGGGGGGGCGCGCGCGCGCGGCCGGGGGCGCGCGCGGCGGAGGGAGGGAGCCGGGAGGCCGCGGAGCAGCCAGCGCCGCCATATTAGGGACCGCGGAGCCCCGGGATCGCGTCCGCGGCGGCCGCGGCCGGGCTTGAGGGAGCTGCGTTGGCCGGAGGCGGGCGCAGCGCGGTGCCCGGAGAGGCGGGGCCGGCGGGAGCCAGCGGGCGACGAGAGCGAGCCAGGTGAGGCGGCCGGGGTCGGGGACCCGCCCCCTGGGCCCGAGGCGGCGGGGTCGGACCGCCGACCCTCCAAAACTGGGCGTGGAGCCGGCCTGCGGCCCCGCCCAGCTCAGGCCCCTGCTGGAGCCCACAGCTCCTCTGAATGCCGCCCTCCGGCCGAGCTAGGCCCGGGTGACCTCAGCATCCCCACCTCCGGTGTGAATCCCCAAATCCGAGCGTCCCCCCACGTCAGGCCCTGTCGTGACTCCCCCAGCCCGAGCCACCTGCAAGCCGCGACCTCCCCCTGCAGTTCTAGTCTCTCATCCTGCTTAACCCAGCAGGCTGAGCCCCGACCCCACAAAGCCAGGGCGCCCTGGCCCGGCCCTCTCCCCAGCATGGCAGACCCAGGTCCTCCTGATCCCAGCTGTTTCTGTCTGGTCTGTCATCCCCGGGTCTTCCAAATTCCGGCCCTCTCCACATTTACACCAGCCCGGATAGCTGAACCTGTTGTGACTCTTGCCCAGGCCCAACCTTCCTTTCATCCCAATAAAGTGCATTCTGAGAGAGAGACCCGGAAACGACGAGACTGGGAGGTTGGGATCCTGTGTGTCTGGGGTCACCATTGTATGCACCCGCAGTTCTGCTGCGGTTTGAGTGCATACATGGCCCTGTCCCACCTGGAGCCTCCTTCCCAGAGTGAACCCCGCCAGTCCCAAAACCCTCTGAAACCCAGCTGTCCCATTTAAGGGGTGATCCCTGAGACAGTCTGCCTGTGCCCAACTCTCCCCTTCTCATCTGAACCTCCAGCCTGTGTATTCCCACAAATACAAGCTCTGCCACCTGGTATCCCCGAAATGTGTAGGATATCGTGGTGATCCACCCCTCTATCTTCCAGACCTGTCCCCACTGGAAAGCCTGAGACCCAGCTATGTGCAGATGTCTGTTCAGCCTCAACTTGTTTTGTTTCTTTGCCCGTTTTCTCCACCCTAAACTCATCACCGAGCTCAGGAAGCAGATCCCCTTGGCCCTCCCCAGTCCACTGGGCGATGACCTCATGCCTCCCCATGGTGAGGCCCCCCCCCAACTTCTTATCACCTTCCAATGGGGGTGATTTAGCTAAAGAAAAATCATCCACCCAGCACACACACAGCCACCCCTGGGATGGGGACAGCTCGGAGGGACAGTGAAGTAGAGGAGGTTGGGTGGTCTCTCTTGGGTGTGGGGGCTGGATTTGCATGCTAGGAAAACAGGTGACATCCTCTGAGGATGGTCCTCAGAGTGTACGTATCTGAGGCCGTTTGTCATGCAGAATTTCTCATGGCGTTCTGTGCCAAGGGCCCTGTCTGATTTGGCTATACCAGATTGTCACTTCGTTCGGAATCCCAGAGTGGAAGCAGGTATCCTGGCTGCCAGTGGCTTCAGTGCCTTTTGTAGCGAGTCGAGTTGGATTACAGAGGGTTTTGTGATGTTGGATTGTCAGGGACGAGGGCTCTGGTCTTGGGAGACTCTCGCTCAGATGACAGGTTGTTGCTTTGCTGGGTAGGTATGTCTCAGCAATGCTGTGCTGACCAGTTCACTCCGGCGACTGTTTCCCGAGTTAAAGTTCAGAACTGGTGCCCTGGCTGGGAGAGGGGGTTGGGGGCTGCAGGGGCAGTACCTAGAAGCCAACGAAAAAGTCTAATGGGTCATGGGAGTGGGTCTGTGTGACTTTTAGACGCGTCCTCTAGCGTAGCAGGAAGCCCCTCACTGATGCTGTTTGTTGGGGCTTCTGGCCAGGTGGGGTTTTTATACTGGTGACTTCCGGGTTTGGGGAGGTCCAGAATGGGGTTGGTGCTGGGGACCTTTTGCTCAGTGTCACTTAGAGGGACACCAAAGTCCTTCTGTTTTTAGGGTCAATCCCAATGACTCCTGGTCAGGGTCAAGATCCAGGGACTTGGTGTTCTAGGAACTGGCCAAGTCACAGCACCCTGTAATTCCTTCTCCTGGAGCAGAGGTCCTTGACCAGGCCAGTTCTGTCCCTAGGAGACACTTGGCAGTGTCTGGGCCCAGGATGCAGCTCAGCACCTCACGGTGCCCAGTACCGCAGAGAACCATCCGTCCCCAGTGTCCTCAGCACGAATGGGGAGAGACCTGGTCTCTGCCTGGCCTCCACGCTGTCCCCAGCACCGCACAGCGCCTGGGCAGGGCCGGAGTTCCCAGCGCTGGCTGAGGGGCGGACTGATGGGGGGACTGAGGGTGCATCAGGCTGCTGCTGGGAGTTGACAAGGGGGACTGTGGCGCCCACCGGGCAGGGAACGGAGTATTTGGTCTCCCCTCTCTTCTGCCCTCGACAGCTCCCTCTGGGCAGTGTGATCTCCTACTTGTCACCTGTACCTGTCACTGCCCTGGCCACCTCAGCTTCACCCCTGCAGAGCCCACCCTGTGTGTGGGGGGGCAGCAGGGCGTGGAGAGCTGCCTCCTGGACGCCTGTGCGTCCAGCTCATGCTCTGGTGGCCACTGGGCTCAGCACAGACCCAGAGCCCTCGTGGGGCACTGCAGTTCTCGTCCAGGGACGTTTATGTCCTGGGCAGCCATCGGTTCCCAGGTGCCTTGGCAAGTAACTACTTTCCTCTACCTCAGTTTCCTCTTTGTGAACGGAATGATACACACTTAGCTTTGCGCCTGGCCTTGCTTCCTCTAGTCATTTGAGTGTCAGGAGTCTTCGGTGGCGCACATCCCGCCCCGAGGAAAGCAGAACCGCTGTCATGGCCACTTGGTCGGCTGTTCCTTCCGTCTCCTGCACGGGACCTTCTTTTTCTGTTTTATTTTTAAAACTTATTTAATTTTTGCTGGCAACAGCTTTATCCAGATATAATTTTCATATCACACAACTCAGCCGTTCAAAGTGTAAATTCCATGGTTTTTATATATTCACAGACTTGTGCAACCATCGCTTCTAATTCTAGAACATCCTTATCATACCCACAGGAACTCATTCCCTGTCAGCAGTCACCCCCAGCCCCCGTCACCACGAGTCCACGTCCCGTCTCTGTGGCTCTGCCTGTTCTGGACATTTCATGTAAACGGAGTCTCACACTGTGTGTCCTTCTGTGTCTGGCGTCTGTCACTGAGCACAGTGTCCTCAAGGTCCCTCCACGCTGTGGCCTGTGTCAGAGCCTCGTCCCTTTCCGTGGCCGAGTGACGCTCCACGTGTGGATGGGCCGCACTGCGTGCGTCTGCTCCCCTGTCCCCGCGCACCGTGCTGGTTCCAGCCTTTGCCTGCTGGAGTAGAGCTGCGGGAGCAGTCGGCACCGGTTGTTGTGCAGGGGCTGGTTGCTGTTGGGGCCCTTTTTCTTGCTCTGTGACTTGGGCGCCAGCACCCCCTCTCTGCATTGGACCCCTGGGCACCTGGCCTCCAGGTTCCTCACCTCTCACTTGCTCCTGAACTCCGGGCCCATGTGGCCAGCGGCCAGTTGCCATTTCTCCTGGGTGTTCACAGGCACCTCAGGTTGAGTGTGTCCCGGGGAGGTCACTCTGTCTACCCTGCCCCGCCCCAGGACCCTTCCCCTCCCTGCCCCAGCCCTGCATTCAAATACAAAAAGCTCATCCATCCTGCCTACCTGCGGCTCACGCTGGGCCCTCCTCTCCCTGTCCCCACCATCCCCACCATGTCTTAGGACCTGGACAGGGCAGTCATTGTCGCCCAGTCCCTGCCACACTGCCTGGCCTCCCCACCACACCACAGTGAGTCGTGTGTGCTGCCCACGCCAGGGCCGAGCTCAGGAGACCCGCCCTCTGGCCTGTCCACCTTGTCCCCTCTCCTGCCCCAGAGCGTCCCTTCCACCCTGACCGCTGTGTGGCTCTGGAAAGCGGCCGACCTCCCCCAGATCAGATTTGGCCCGGGAACCACTGTGTTGAGACCCCTCAGTGAAGATCTTGTCGCCGCCAGGCCTGAAGGCTGCCGGGAGTGTGGGGGAGATGACGGGGGCAGAGGGAGCACGGGGGCTGGCTGGAGCAGTCTGTCTGCTGTCAGTGGAGGGCGGGGGGTGGGGTTCCCCCAAACCAGGCATCGTCCACCTGGGGTGACTCTGCCCCTCTGTGGGCACAGGACAACGTCCGGGGACATCCATGGTTGTCATGACTGGGGACGGGGGTGCTCCTGGCGTGGAGGGGGTGGGGGCAGGGAGGCTGCTCAGCACCCCGCAGTGCCCAGGACGTCCCCTCCCACCCCATCCCTGCAGAGAGTCATGGGCCCTGAGTGTCCGCAGTCTCAGGGACACCAGAGTGAGGAGCAGCTGCCCAGAGGGCGAGGTGAGCCCCCGTCGTGCAGGCCTGTGCAGAGACACAGAAGAGAGGGCCTCGGGGACCTCTCAGGGCTCAGTCCGATCCTCTAATGGCCCCGTCCAGCCTTGGGAGTCGGTGCTGCTTGGCGCGCGCTTCCTTCTCCTGTTCCTTTGCGGGTGTGTGTGCCTTCGGGCTGCTGCGGCCCGCACGTCCTTTTGGTCTGAACCTCGCGCCCAGTCCAGTGGGGTCATGGGCGCTTGGCGGTGCCCAGAGGCCGAGGAGAAGAAAGATCAGGTCCCACCTTTGGTGTCACTGGCAGGTGCAGAGCAGCAGCTCTGGCGGTGGGAGGGCCCTGGCCATGAGACCCCAGGGGTGGGATTCTCATCCACCTGCGTGGCCCGGGGGACCGCAGCTCCAGCTCTGGTAGCAGCACCTGGGTCAGCGCCTGGGACCCCGGCACAGGTCGGCGGGGAGGAGGCATCCGCTGGCTGCGCGAGTGGATGAATGAATGAAAACGCGATGGGTGTGTTCCTGGGCCCAGGCGCCAGGCCTCCCTAGAAGTGACTAGCCTCGTAGTGACTCATGTGGCCACTTAGGGAAGGGGCATGTCCCCCCAAGGTTTGTCTGGGCACAGCGCTCTTTGGCTTCGGCCACCCCCAGCTGCATCTGTGCCGTCTGTGGAGGTCGGGGCGCCAGCTTAGCTGGCTTTTCCGTGGGGTGGGAGGCCACTCCTCTCCATGGGGCTGCCTCTGTATCAGCTG